AGGTGGGAGGAAGAACAGGTTAGGGAGGCAGGGACGAGCTGGACTGGTTTTGGGATGCGGTAGGGAGGGGAGATTTTGAAACTTGTGAAATCCACATTGATACCATTGGGCTGCAGGGTTCCCAAGCGGAATACGAGTTGCTGTTCCTGCAACCTTCGGGTGGCATCGTTGTGGCACTGCAGGAGGCCCAGGATGGACATGTCGTCTGAGGAATGGGAGGGGGAGTTGAAATGGTTCGCGACTGGGAGGTGCAGTTGTTTATTGCGAACCGAGCGTAGGTGTTCTGCAAAGCGAGACACTGCAGACTATGATCCTATTGGATAAGTGAGGGTTTGAGATAGGATTTAAACTAGAGCTACAGTTATGCATTATTAGTGGACACAGTTACCCAAGGATTGAAGCAAATCCTGGTACCTGGTAGAGGTGGTAACCGCTGAGCCACCAAGAGGAGAATAGCAGCTCATTTCCAGTTTCCCACTGGTATATCTGCTGCCTTATCATGCAATGGGATATTTTCTTGCCTCCAACAGGAGCTGCAAGTTCAACGCTCACTCGGCCTGCTCAATGCAGGCAAAGGAGCTTCAATATTAAATGGAGTCCTTCCACCATAAGCCGATAGCTGGCAGAAAGAATGGGAGAGATTGCTCACCAGGACGTGTAAGAAAGACTAACAATGCCCCAACAACTTTAAAAGCCCTATGGGCAGTTGGCTGAAGAGTCAGGATGGATACAGACTGCCTCCTTGTGTTGCATAGAATGGAGATGCTCTAAATCAATACCTGCGGGTGTGGAGTGGGGTTGGTATTGTGTAGGAAACTACACATCTTCCCCAGTAATCCTACTGCTCAAGAAAACTGAATGGAGGCAAACCTGCTCCCATCGCACTTCATCCATCAATCCAAACCAGGTAAGGACTAGGCTCATGGGAGTTTAAGAATTTCAAACCATAAAGTGCTAAACAGGGTAAATCCAAGGTGGCCAGGAAGTGCAGAACCAGGTCATATAATTTCAGGATGTGCAGGTCGGCCATTTAGGAGTGAAAGGAGGATGTATTTTCATCAGCCAGAGAATGGGGATCCTCTAGCTCAGAGATAGAGGCCAAAACATTGAATGTTTAAAAAAAAGGAGGAGGAGTTACATACCATTCTTTAGGATTAGAGAGCAAAAAAAAGGTATGGAGAAAGCAGGAATGGAGTTGGATGATCAGCAATGGCAGAACAGGCTCAAAAGGGCTGTATGACCTAACCTACTCCTATTTTCTATATATAGAGTCTTCCACTTGTGGTCTAAATCACAATTGTCAGCCTGTTTAGAAACAGAATGAGTTGATAGAATTAGTATCATGAGCAGAAAGATTACAAATCCTATGCTGCTTCGTTCCAAAAGAAAAAGTTTCAAGTGGCTATAAAAAGGTGGAATATGGGATTCATCCCATTTGTTACTAGCCAGCACCTCCAGCTGAAATCACACTACGCAGAAGGATGTAGGTGAAGCAAACCTTTTTGTAAGCTTGCGTTTCTCAATGTGCTAATGAAGCAGCTCTTTGCTGAACTAGGTGATTTAAGGTGTGGCAGTCAATTGGTACAGACATTAGATGTCACAAACAAGAACTAGATTAAAGTGGAATTTTTTTATTGTTCCAGTTAAGTGGTGAATTTGCCTTTGTGTGCAACCCTTATATAGGAAAGCACGATCAAAAATAAGGAGGTATCAAATCAAAAGGAAGCCACTTTAGTTTGACTAACAGTTTGGTCAAGGAATGAGGTAAAAGAAAATGCACAAGGCTCAAGAGCTGAGAAGGTGGAGGTATGTGTTTCAAAAAAAAAGTGGTAATAGGATGTAGGCAACATTAGTTAAGGCTAAGTTACTGTACACAGAAAACAAAAAAAAAAATAAAAATAAATAAATGCTGGTGATCAGCAGATCAGGCAGCCTCCATGGGGGGAGCAAGTTAAATGTTTCAAGTCCAGATGAGGCAGACTCTCCATAGATGCTGAGATAACAAAGTTTAGAGCTGGATGAACATAGCAGGCCAAGCAGCAGAGGAGCAGGAAGGCTGATGTTTTGGGCCTGGACCCTTCTTCAGAATTCTTCACATTTCTGAAGGGTCTAAGCCCAAAACATCAGCCTTCCTGCTCGGCCTGCAGTATTCATCCAGCTCTACACCTTGTTGTCATCTCTGGAGTGTTGTAATCAGTATTCTGTACATTGCAAATTCTTTTAATGAGGGAGAGACACTAACTTGTTGAAAGAGGCAAGAGGGAGTTGTAGCAAAGCAGTCCAACTGGATAGAATAGCCTTGCAGTGGATGTACGAATACCCAAAGCCCAGAGCAATTGTAGGCTACACTGAGGGACAATGTGTACTTAACTCTACAAAAGCCCATTAATACGACAACAGCTGCATAACATATGAAACAGCTAGCATGCTCAAGTTGAAACTCAAATGAATGTACGTACTATACAGGTTGACTATTTAGACTTTCAGGCTTAATACAGATCCAGCAACCTAAAGATTGGATAGGTTCAGTACAAGCAAGCAAGATCATTAACAAGAGCAGGAGTAAGCCATCTGACCACTTGAGCCTGATCTGCCATTCAATAATATCATGGCCAATCTTTTGTTAGCTGTCTGCTCATCATAATCCTCAATTCATTTACTACTTGAAATCTGCCTTAAAACAAACAACATTCAAGGTAGCCTCAAAATGCTTCACTGGGCAGGGAATTTCACAAACCGGAGTATCGGCAGCAAAAGTACATCCTACAGCAAGGAAACAAACACGCAAAAAACAAACAAAAAATCTTTATTAAAAATTTACAAAAAAGTCACTGGAGATTTGTCTCCGCGGGCTTTTGTACAAGTATATTTTTGTTTAAACTTCTATAATAAGTCACATTTTACTGGTGAAATTACAATAGGTCAGCTATAAGTCACTGAATGCAAAAAAGCAACTGTTGCATTTGGCATGCATGTGAACAAAATTTAAATTGCATTGATATCTTGCTACAAATGGCAGCTTTTCCATTACTCTACACCCCACACCCAAAATGAGACACCCTTTTGAGAAAACTGTAAAAAGTCACTCAGCCACCTGCATACTCACTTCTTGGAAAAGGAGAACTTGACCTCTCCACTTTGAGAAGTCATTGCATCTGGCTTATATCCAATTATAAAAATTGGAAACCACAACCTTCATTAACTTGGATAACAGAATCCTGTCACTGATGAAAGTAATCAAACCAGACAGACAATGAAGGCACACATGCAGTTAGCCACCAAAAGAATGGGTATTTTGAAGTGTAACTTTCTGGGTCAGGACTACACAGTCAGAGACCAGCACCAGAACTGTTCAGCTTCAGTCAACAGGTTTGAAGTTTGTTACAAGACATGCTTCAGTTAAACTTCCTGCTCAAAAGGGCTTAAGCTACTGCCAGGTATCTTAAATATGACACATCAGGATGGGATCCCATTTCTTCTGGGAGCCTTGTTTTTCCAGTGATTGAGACAAGTGACTCACCTATATTAAAACAAAGTCTATCCCGGTGCACAAAAATTTAAAACATGAAACAAAGTTGTGAAGGTGATTGACAGTCAGTCATAGGTTCCCAATTTTAAAGAAGAGGGCCAAAAAAGTTTGTTACCATCCTAAATGCAAGCAAATATTCTCCATTGTAGCATTTCCCACAAAAGATGCCCAGAATTTGTGAGTACTTGTTTGTTCCTATACATCCCAATTAGACTACTTTCATGAAAGATTATGTAAATCAGAGCCAAGAGACAATGGGACAAGAGATTTAAAGCCAAACCAGATCCCATGAGCAAATGAGGACCATGCAAACCAAGTCAACTTTCACTACAAATATTTGAAAACAAACAAGGGTGAAAATGTCCACACCTGTAAAGTATCACATGATCAGATTATATTTTGCAAGTTAGTTACATTGGAACTCAAATTGGCACAAGATGAGATACAAAACAATACAGTCCTCTGTTTATTGACTACATAACCACACACAGAAATACTTCAATCTTAGTTCAGAGTGATCAAGTCTGGAGTGCAATGCTTCAGTCTCCTTGGAATGGTGTTTAAGCAGACTCAAGTGCAGATGATGCTGACTAACTACCACCAGTGCCTTCAAGTAGAAGCGTGGAATTCAAGACGTATATCAATATTGACTTTTAGATGCATTGGTCAACAAACCTTTTTGCTCAGCCATGCACAAATGGCTGTGGTCCCTTTTCCGATGGGATTATAGCCACAAATATAAAGCCAGATAGATAATTATTGTACTGTTTCATTACATTACAGATATGGTGGTGATGCTTGTTCAATTCACAAAACTCAAGTCCAGGCTACTGAACAAAAAGTTAATCTAGACAGGGTCACCAGGGAGAAAAGTAGCCAAATTCCATTTTAATTGCAGTGACATAACTAAATCCAAGCATCAACTCAAACTGGCTGCTCAGTGTAGACTTCCTGAAACAAACTCCAAAGTAGCCATTTGAAACTGGGATGCCCCACCTAGATTTCTTCCACACACAGTGGAAAGAACACCAATGCCTTCCATGACCAGTCTGATGCCAAGTAAAATGACAAACATCAGGAAAAGCTGGGATACAATTTATAATTTCACCTCAAAGCTGAACCCTGAATATGCAATGTTCCTCTTCCAACTAGAGCAGCAAAACAAAATCAGGACAAGTTCAATCTCATCCACAGATCTTTGATTGAAAATATTATGAGTTGAAGGAGTAATTGACATATATTGGTTCACGGAGCCTGTAACTTTCTGGATTCACCTGAAAAACATTTAAAAACAAACAGTAAGTAGTCTCCTTGACACAAAGGGAGTTAAAACAATGCAGAAGTCTTAAAATAAGCCCTAGTACATAGGAAGCAAATCTTTGTACTAAGTTTCAATGCACAAGCTGCAGTTTGCTTGAATTACAGTTGTTGCATTTGAATACTCAAAAGAACCAGGTGAAGAGCTGGATGAACACAGCAGGCCAAGCAGCATCATAGGAGCAGAAAGGCTGACGTTTCAGGCCTAGACCCTTCATCAGAAATGGGGGAGGCGGATAGAAGATGGATAGAGGAGAGGAAACAAACAGGTTGAAGGGGCGGGGATGGAGCCAGTAAAAGGAGTGTAGGTGGGGAGTTAGGAGGGGATAGGTCAGTCCAGGGAGGATGGACAGGTCAAGGGGGCGGGATGAGGTTAGTAGGTAGGAGATGGGGGTGCGGCTTGAGGTGGGAGGAAGAACAGGTTAGGGAGGCAGGGACGAGCTGGACTAGTTTTGGGATGCGGTCCTCAACTGTGTCTCCCACATTTCCCGCAACCCATCCCTCACACCCCGTCCATGCAAGAACCAAAAAAAAAATCCCCCTCGTCCTCACGTACCACCCCACCAACCTCCAGATTCAACGCATCATCCTCCGACACTTCCGCCATCAGCAATCTGACCCCACCACCAAAGACATCTTTCCCTCCCCACCCTTATCTGCTTTCCGGAGGGACCACTCTCTCCGTGACTCCCTTGTCCTTTCCACACTCCCCTCCAGCCCCACCACACCCGGCACTTCTTCCTGCGGTTGCAGGGAATGCTATACCTGCCCCCATACCTCCTCCCTCGCCCCCATCCCAGGCCCCAAGAAGACTTTCCACATCAAGCAGATGTTCACCTGCACATCTGCCAATGTGGTATACTGCATCTGCTGTACCTGTTGTGGCCTCCTCTACATCGGGGAAACCAAGCGGAGGCTCGGGGACTGCTTTGCAGAACACCTACGCTCAGTTCGCAATAAACAACTGCACCTCCCAGTCGCGAATCATTTCAACACCCCCTCCCATTCCTCAGACGACATGTCCATCCTGGGCCTCCTGCAGTGCCACAACGATGCCACCCGAAGGTTGCAGGAACAGCAACTCATTTCGCTTGGGAACCCTGCAGCCCAATGGTATCAATGTTGATTTCTCAAGCTTCAAAATCTCCCCTCCCCCTACTGCATCCCAAAACCAGTCCAGCTCATCCCCGCCTCCCTAACTTGTTCTTCCTCCCACCTCAAGCCGCACCTCCATCTCCTACCTACTAACCTCAGCCCACCCCCTTGACTTGTCCATCCTCCCTGGACAGACCTATCCCCTCCCTAACTCCCCACCTACACTCACCTTTACTGGCTCCACCCCCACCTCATCAGCCTGTTTGTTTCCTCTCCACCTATCCATCTTCTATCCGCCTCCCACTCTCCCTATTTATTTCAGAACCCCCTTCCCCTTCCCCCCCCATTTCTGATGAAGGGTCTAGGCCTGAAACGTCAGCCTTTCTGCTCCTATGATGCTGCTTGGCCTGCTGTGTTCATCCAGCTCTGCACCTTGTTGTCTCGGATTCTCCAGCATCTGACTCAAAAGATCCAGTTTGTTTCAAGAATGTTTGTTAAAAGTAAATGAAATTGCACCCTATTCCAGAATATAAAAAAAGGCGAAAACCTGAGAAAGACTTCATTCAAAATCAGAATAAACTGACCAAGTTTCTTGTAATTAACCAAGGAAGCTGCTCAAACTGGATCTCCCCATAAACAATGAAGAATTTGCCGTCGTCTGCAAGACTTTGTCACGTGCTTATTACAAGAATGCAAACTAAATAGAAATCAGACATTTACACTGAATGAAGTGGATTCTGATGGGATCTTTAGGAGGTTCTAAAGGAGGGTCACTGGACCCAAATTGTTAATTCTGCTTTCTATCCATAGATGCTGCCAGACCGGAATTTCTTGTGATTTTTGTTCCAAACTTTCAGCATCCACAGTGCATAGTTCCACTTTGTAGGGATTCTGTGTCATGTGGCCAAAGTACATGACCGACCCTTCGAGAAACATCCCAGCCAGACCCACCCGTGACCCTGCATTTCTTGTGGCTAATCTACCTAACCTGCACATCCCTGGATGCTGAGGCAATTTAGCATGGCCAATCCACTTAATGGTACATCTTTGGACTGCGGGAGGAAAATGGAGCAGTCGGAGGAAACCCACACAGACAGGTGAGTGGGGAATCCAACCTGTAAGCTAACCACTGAGCCACTTGGTTTTATTTTAGTATGGTACTAAATCTTAAGAAAATATTGTCAAGTGGATCCTATCTGCAGAAATCAAGTGTGGTGTGTTAAACTAGTTATTGATAACCTGCCCAATTTTATTATATTGCAAAATCATCCTTTAAATTGAAGATCTGAGCACTGATTGAATAAAGTCAAAAATTTAAGTCACATTCATGAGGCATAGGATTCCCTCGACCAAAAAAAACAAACTTGCATTTACACAACACAAGGAGACAGAATAGGAAGCGGAGCAGAATTTGGCTCTATGTTGATGAATTGGAAATGCGTGTTGTGCCAGTAAAGTTTAGGTTGTACATGGACAGAAAAGCCCTCTTGTGGTGCAGAGGTCATGTCCCTACCCGTGCCAGGATGCCAGGTTCATGTCCCACCTGCTCCAGAGCTGTGTAACATTTCTAAAACAGGTTAATTAGGAAAAAAAGAAGAAAAGAAAAGAAAGGACTGCAGATGCTGTAAGTTGACAAAAAAAAAAAATAGAACTTGCTGGAAAAGATCAGCAGGTCTGGCAGCATCTGTGGGCAGAAAATCAGCTAAAAGTTTGGGTCAAGTAACCCCTCAAAAGGAGGCTAAATTAAGAAAACAGGCAAATAAATGACAGCACAAGCACAAGTACAAGGTGATGAGACTGCCATTCATTGGATAGACTACACCCAGAAATACTCTAGAGAAAAACATTTGGGTATCAGATGAAGTTGAATTTTTTTTTCTATTTAACCTATTTTTCTAAATCATGTTCAGATGTAATGACACACCTCAGACAGGTTCAAGTCACCTGTTCCACTTGGTCCAGAGGTAGGAACACAAACTGCATCACAAATGGAAGGCTAAAACCCAAGGATGGATTCAGTCCAGGTGGTTTAACACACCTGGTCATACCACTCTTTCCCCGTCTGCTCATCTTTAGATGGTGATTCGAGATTTTCCTTACCTCATCCTGCAAGGTCCTAACAATCTCCAGTTTTTAATACAAAAAACCAGAACCCATAGCTTGGCACAGAGAACAAAGACTCTCAGCCCTAATGGTGCACAATTAAAGTCAACAATACCACTACTCAATCACTACTGGGTACATGCCTAAGGAATAGTCTCACTGGGTCAGATACCACAGGACAGACCTGGAGAAAGCAGATACCAGTTAAGCCCGGTTTTAAAATCAGGCTTCTGTATATAGTTGAGACATCAGCCTGTTTCTGTCCAACAGATCCTAGAGGTTGCTGACTACATTTGTACAAATGTAGTCAATCACCCAGAGATTACAATCTCATTCTATATTTTCAAATTGCCTCTCTGAACCTTCCATTGTCAAACCGTCAGTCCTGGAATTCAAAGTCACCCTGATTTCTTAGAATTGAGAGATCAAGTGGAAAGGGCAGGATATGGACCCAGTGGAGGAGATAACATGTTGGAAACATCTGCTATAGGCAGTAATGCATGGGGGCAGGGGGTGTGGAAATGGTTTGCAGGACAGAAACTTGAAGGTTAAATGATTCCACTGCTGCGTACCCTTGGCAGTGTGGGTCATGGAGAGAGGGACATTGCAAGAAGGGATGCATTGGAGATCCCAGCAGGATAACTTCGCAGGTGCAGTATATTTTTATAGATGGCACATATTGGCAGAAACTAGAGGTTTTCTTTCATTCATGGGTTGTGGTGGTCATTGGCTAGACCCAGCATTTATTGCCCAGGTGGTGGTGAGCTGTCAACTTGAACCACTATTTGATTTATAGGGACAGTCCTCTAGCATGGGAGTCCCAGTAGTTTGTTTCTTCAGTTACTAGTTATGATATCATTCAAGTTAAGTGGTTACGGTTGTGGTGCAGTGCAGTGCAAGGGAAGAGGAATTTGCAGGTAGTGGTGCTCTGATGCATCTGCTACCCTTGTCTTTATAGTTGTTTGAGAGATTGCTTAGAACATACAGCCTTAGAGAGTTAGTATATTGTAGATGATGCACACTGCTGCCAACATGCACCAGTGCTGGAGGGAGTGAATTGTGAAGGTGGATGATTTAAACTGGCACATTGACAACATCAGCACTTAAACTAAAATGACTTCTGGGTAAAGGTGGTGAGCAGTGTTACTGGGACCAGAAGGGGATCTTCAAGTTCATGTTCCAATTGTGTATCACTTGATCAAGGGGGACCTGGCATTTAAACATTCCAGATGTAGCCTGTGTTAGAGACAAACAACTGCAGATGCTGGTATCCAAGACAGACAACCCACAGCAAGGCAGGCAACATCTGGCAAGAGAAAGGAGCAATGTTTAGGGTGTAACCAGTCCTGAAGGGTTATACCCAAAACATTGACTGCTCCTTTCTTGCCAGATGTTGCCTACCTTGGGTTCCAGCATCTGCAGCTGTTTCTAACCAAATTTAACCACTACAAAAAAGTCTCTTCAAAAGGAACCCCACTTTGAAGTTCTCTGCCTCCCTCAGGAGGAAGATTTAGTGATCCCCTTTCTCACTGCTGTGACCTCTTCAACCACACCACAAAACAAACGCTACTACAGCCACATGACCTTCCTCAGCCCCAGTCTTCGCCACCATCTCATCCCTCAAGTCATACAAGTACATTTCAAACCTTCCAAATTTGGACCTACCTTCAATGCTCCATACTCAACACTTTCAATGCCTCCAGAAACAATTCACTCTAGATTCTCCACACAACTTCTCCGCAATGTGTCAGCACCTCCACTCCCTCTCCTCATCCCTCCCCCAGCTCAAGGCCTCCTTTTCTCAAGCTTGCAGAGGACCTCTGCTCTATATTAGACAGAATCCACACACACGATGACTTTTCTGCTTCATATCAGACAAGTCCTCAATGACTATACCCAAAACATTGACTGCTGCTTTGCTTGCCATGTTCTTCAAGCCTCCTGTTTGTCTACCCCAGATGTAACCTATACCTTGCAGCTCAGATTTTGCTGATAGCAAGGCATTTGCCACGGAAATGGAAGAAAGCTCCTCATGAAGATGCAATCTGTGGTGTGGAGTTCACCTTTCACTGGCAAAATGCAGAGTCATTGTCAGGGAAGCTCTAGTGCAGAAGAGGCCATTCAGCCCAGATGAGTCTCCACCAATCTGGAGCATCCCATGCAGACTCAGCACCCCTACCTTATCCCAGGGCACTGAGGCAATTTTAGCATGGCCAATCCACCCAAACAGTACATCTTCAGACTGTGGAAGGAAACCAGAGCACCCAGCAGAAACCCCCTACAGACATTGCATGTGCAACATCCACACTGTTACCCAAGGTTGGAATCGAGCTGGGGTCTGTGGTGCTGAGAGACAGCAGTGCTAAGCAAAGACACCACATGCTCCAGGCTTCCAGTGAGATCATCAAGCAGTCATAGCAAGCTAAGAAACACAATGTGCCGATTACGTCAAAATTAAGAAAAGGAGGATTCAGTGGCAGTTGAAAAACATGAGAAATTTAATATTCCAAAGTAGGTTCACACAGCAAGCAAGCTGATCAGTAGTAATTGCAACATTAGTTTGCTTTAAAATCCAGTTAACCTTCATTAAGGACATAACTCCAGGGTGTTTTTACAGCAAGGCCAACAGTATCAACAAGATTGGAACTTCTCACCAGTTTAATAATTGTCTGCAGACAGAGGTGTGGTGACCTTAAGCTTGGAGGTGGAGATGCCAGAGCCAGACTGGTCTAGACAAAGTCAGAAGTCGCAACACTGGGTTTATAGTCCAACAGGTTTATTTGAAATCACAAGCTTTTGGAGCACTGCTTTGTCTGGTGAAGTCTGGAACACTCTGCTCAGAGCTTGATTTCAAGTAAATCTGTTGGACTATAACCTGGTATCATGTGATTTCTGACTCAAGCTCAATGGCAATCTGAGGAAATTTGTCATTGTCAGCACCTTTAAAGTTAGTTTAAAAGGCATGTACACAAATTCCAGGGAGTTGAATAACAATGGAACACTGGTTACACTTGTCGTAAAGTCAGAATTTTAAAGTAAACCACTTGCCATTTGCAGTTCAGAAGTCCCTACCCTCATTCTTTCCAATATGTATGCATTACAGAAGGATACAGAATTACTTTGAGGAATTACCTTGACTTCATAAAGGCAGATAAAAGGAACTGCATGGTGTTATAGTAAGAGTTGCAGACGATGTAGACACGCCAAAAGAAACAATGTTTAAGCAGGGCCAAACTAGACTGTGTTGGATGACAGTGAGGGAAGAGAAGCTTAACCAGCACAAGAGTATTAACTCTAAGAGGAGGTAATGGAGGGCTGTAGGGGAAGGAGTAGGACTGGAAGCCACCCATATGTACATATCTGACTTGAATATTTTGAGTGGGTGTTCTCCGAACCATTCAAAAAACTTGGACCATGCCTGATTAAGAGTAAAAACATAATTGTGGAGTAGATAGTTAAGCAGCTCACCTCTGGCAATGGTATGTTACTTGCATTCTCACGTTCAACGTCCCAGGCTTCAAACGCAAAGCTCTTCTGACAAGCCGCACAGAACCTATATTTCCAGCACTAAACCCCAACACAAGAGAACACATTTCAATTTGCTTTTACAAACTTAAGGTATACCAAGATGTAGGATTTGAAGTCAGTTCCAAAACAGCAACTCCAATGCTGTATCTAACCCTGATCACCAGATTCAAACCTAACCAGTCATCAACACCAGTGTCTTCCCACCTCTTGTTGGGAATAGCAGGCTTCACTTTGAAGCGTTGGTGGTAAGCACATTTGTACTGAAATGTTTGTGGGCAGTCCCCAGGTTACAAACTGTTTCAGAGTACATTAAGTCACTTTGCACACAATTTGAACAATGTAGTACAATATGAAATAGCTGTTTTGAAGTACAAGCAAATATTTGCATTTTGGACCCTTAAAATTAATTCAGATTATGTTCCTAAGTCAGGGATCACCTGGATATTAAACTGGAAAGAGAACAGTCAAAGTCACAGGCCTTTCAGCCCTACTCATCTATGCTGACCAATTTTCCCCAAACTAGTCTATTTGCCTGCATTTGGACCGTATCCCTTGACTTTTTCTATCCATATAACTGTCCAAATGTCGAGTGTTGCCATTGTACTGGTCTCTACCACTTCCTGACAGCTCCTTCCAGACATGCACCACCCTCTTAAAAAAAGTTGCCCCTCAGGGCCCTTTTAAAATCTTTCCCTTCACCTTAGAAATCAATGACCTCTAGTTTTGGACTCCCCTACCCTAGGGAAAGACCTATTCACCTGATCACAGTATATTTAAAACAGTTAAGAGTCCAGCTGTTTGATGTGAAACCTTCAAAAGTTCAAGCCCCACCTATTCCAGGTGGTGTATAATCACATTTTTGAACCAACCTGTTCAGATATCTACCCTGCAAAGGCTAGAGTTTTAAAAAATTAGGATCAATTCTGAATTGGAGGTTGAAAGGATGATTTAGGGTGTTCGGGATAGTATCCGAGGGAGATTTTAGAAGAACTTCCTACAGTTTTCCTTAACCCAAGAACAATTGTAGCACTCACCCTTGTGGTTAGATTATCCATAGCAGGAAATTGTGTGACCATATCCTGGCAATGCATTGCTTATTTATATTAAAGAAAGGAGTCTCAATAAACATTCAGCCTTTTAATTACAAAGGACTTTAGGACCAATTTTTGTCAGATCAATACATTAAGATTAACTGATGGGTGGGGGCAATAAAGTTCACGTGTCCTATGGAGAACCTTGCTCCAAGCTATTGTACATACAGCTTGCTTACTGCACGCAGCAATTTATTCTTATAGCTGCGCTACAACCAAATATAGCTCTATATTCCACACTTCCAAGGGGCAACAGGTTCATTTGTTTTTAGCAGAAATTAGCTGTGTACTTGATGTGATGTGGAGTACAAAAAGTTCAATACCATACAACCACACAATGCAGAGATCTTGTTGAAAGGCAGAGATAGTAAGCACGGCCGATGCTGGCATCAGTGATAAGTGTAGAGCTAAAGGAGTACAGCAGGTCAGGAAAGTTAATGTTTCAGGTCGGGACCCTTCAGAAATGGGGAGGAGGAAGGGAGCTCAGAAATAAAGAGAGGTGGTGGGGCTGGGGAAGGTAGGAGGGATGGTGATAGGCGAGTGCAGGTAGGCAGTGGTGGGAATTAGTCTGAGGTGGGAGGAGCAGATGGACAGGTTGTGTCAGGTCAAGGAGGCAGGGATGAGAGGGAAGGTTGGTCGGTCATGGGAGGTCTCACTGATGTAGAGGAGGCCACATTGGGAGCAGTGGATACAATAGACCACATTCATATCAGACAGAGGTTTACCTGCACGTCTGTCAAAGGTTTGTTTGGTGCCATGGAGGTGAGGGGGGTTGGGGAGGTGTAGCACTTCCTGCGGTCACAGGGAAAGGTACCGGGGTGGTGGGGCTAGTGGGGAGCGAGTCGCAGACAGTGGTCCCTATGGAAGGCAGATTCGGGTGGGGAGGGAAAGGAAATGTATCTTTGGTTGTGGGGTCAGATTGTAGGTGGTGGAGAACGATGCGTTGAATACAGAGGTTAGATTAGTGGGGTGATATGACAGGACAAGGGGGATTCTGTTTTTGGGACAGGGGTGCGGGAAACAAGAGAAGTAGTTGAGAGCATTTTCAACCACCGAAGCGGGTGGGAGTGGGGGATGCAGAGTTGTGGTCCTGGAAGAAAGACGACATCTGGGATGTTCAGGTGTGGAACACCCCATCTTGGGAGCACATGCGATGGAGGTGGAGGAATGGGAGGAGGGGATTGCATTCTTGCAGGAGGGTGGATGAGAGGAGGTGTAGCCTACTAGCTATGGGAGTCAATGGGCTTGAAATAGATGTGTTTTGAGATGGTCACCAGAGATGGAGACAGAGGTCTAGGAAGGAGAGGTAATCAGATGGTCCAGGTGAACTTGAGGTTGGGGTGAAAGGTGTTAGTAAAGTTGAATTGTTCAAGCTCCTCGTGGGAGCGTGAGGCAGCACCAATACAGTCAATGTAGCGGAGGAAGAGGATAGTGGATAGTACCAGCGTAGCAAGAGGAATTGTTCCACGTATCCTACGAAGAGGCGGGCACAGCTTGGGCCCCATGTGAGTTCCCATGGCCACCCCCTTAGTCTGTAGGAAGTGGGAGGAGTTAAAGTTAAGGGTAAGGTCTATTCCATCTGCTCCCGATGTGGCCTCCTCTACATCGGCAAGACCAAGCAGAGGCTCAGACCGCTTTGGTCGAGCGCCTGTGCTCTGTTCAAGACAGATGACAACACCTTCCAGTCACAGACCATTTCAACTCCTCCTCCTACTCCCTGGGTGACATGTCCATCTTGGGCCTCCTCCAGTGTCACAATGACACCACCCGGAAACTGGAGGAGCAGCACCTCATATTCCACCTTGGGAGCCTACAGTGCAATGGCCTAAATGTAGATTTTTACCAGTTTGAAAAGCTCCCCCACCCCTGACCTCATCCTATGACCAACCCTCCCTCATCCCCACCTCTGACCTGACAACCTGTCTATCTTCCCTCCCATTTATCTGCTCCTCCTACCTCACTGACTAATCCCCACCACTGCCTACCTGCACTCACCTATCACCATCCCTCCTACCTTCCCCAGCCCCACCCCTGTTTCTGAACTCCCTTCCTCTTCCCCATTTCTGAAGGGTCCCGACCTGAAACATCAGCTTTCCTGGCCTGCTGTGCTCCTCCAGCTCCACACTTACTGACTCCAGCATCGGCAGTTCTTAAATCAGACGTGATCAGGATGCTGCATCTGCAACCACCTTAGACTGCAGGCTAACCTAATGTACAAAAGATCTTTCGGCCTTTGTTCACATCACCACACTGCATTCTATACAGATGAATGAAGCACTCACGAGAAAAGCCAGGATTGGGAGAGAGACGATAGCCAAGCCACACAGCAGGATGATTGCAATTCCAAATCCTGGGAAGTGGATACGTTCATATGGCCGATCCAATCTTGCACCTGAAAAAGGAAATTTTGAATAATCTCCAAACAAACTTAGTTGTTACTAACATTTAATTAACTGGAGGGGGTTTGGAGCAAATCCTGTCACCATACTGTTAACTCAATTAGTCAGTTTAGACACATCCTTGCCTGGTTGACACTAACCACAAAGCTGACTCTTTAAGAACTTCCTCCTCAATGAGGTAGGCTTAGGTCAATACACATCGAATAGTCTGCACTGAAAACCCTGCTAACATTTCCACCTGCAGTCACATTAGCTGCAGCTATCAATACCACCCACAACATTCTCACTTTACTTCTTTCCAATGCTAATTAATCCACCCTCTAGTGAAGGTGAGAATAAGCTTAAATACAAATAGGACAAATAAGACAGCCACATTGATGCACTTAGAAAACCAGTGAGGATTAAAGTAGTTACGGTTTAAGACCGCCATTCTAAAAAAGCAAACCAAAGCAGTGAGGTGCATTTCTAGTGGGAGACAGTCATATACTTACATGGAACATTGGTTAGACTAGACTACAAATACCAAAAATAGATCCAAAGAAAAAAGATCTCCAAGGCATTTGAAGGTTTACTGGAACACTAAATAGCACAAAGCATACCAGGATGATTCAACGGGCCAGGTTACCCAGCCTGCAGAAAAACAGGAACTCTAGTGATCTGATGGAAGCCCACAAATTCTGAAAGTGTAGAGATAATTGACTTGACCTCTCTAGCTGTGGTTGTTAGCAAAAAAAAAGTCACTAATGAATTAAGTTGATGTCAGGAAAAATGCTGACTTAGTACAGAAACTTGCAACTAAAATTAAACAAATATGCACTGAACTGTGAAATGGAAGGGATTAGATGGATGCATTGAGGGTTAAAGGATAGACTGTAAACACTGGCATAGACCTATGGCTTAAATGGCCTCTTATATAGTTCAAATATCTTTGACTAACGTGGGGCAGTACAGGACTTGACAGTAGTTTGAGGGGATACTGAAGGATTCTATGGAGTCACCATTCCACCCAGTGGTGAGCACTGCTGCCTCAGTGCCAGGGCCCCAGGTTTGATTCCATCCCTCAGACAACTGCCTATATAGAGTTTACACTTTTTCCTTGTATCTGTGTGGGTTTCTTTCAGGTGCCCTGGTTTCTTCCCACAGTTCAGATGTTCAGTGGATTGGCAATGCTAAATTGCCCCATAGTGCCCAGGGATGTGCAGGCTGGGTGGGTTAGCCATGGGATATGTTGGGTAACAGGATACAGTGGGAGACTGGGTCTGGGTAGGATGCTGTGGGTCAGTGAGACTTGATGGGCTGAATGGCCTCCTTCCACACCATAGGGATTCTAAAATCAATAAAACCAAAATATATGTTATTCTCTTGATACAAAGCCCCCACTACATTTACATTTCCATTTCCAAACATAAAGCAAGATCAGCACATTGTATTTCAAGAGAATTAACTGTCATCAGGTAGAGGAAACAGGGGCATTACATGCAGCCCATACTGCCTGTGCTAACTGAAAAGTGCAGAGTAGTTCTACTGCTCTGCCTCTTGCCCACAGTCTTGCAAATTCCCCATTGTTTCTGATTATCTGGATTGACTGTTGAATCTCCTCAATGCACTGTCAAGCAACCCATTCCCAATAGTGAACCTTCTCTTCCCTGGACCCTTTGTCAACTACTTAATGCTGTGCAAATTCAGATGTGTTTTCTGCATTGTAACCAAGTCAACCCTCTAAATAGAGATCACAATTCGGTACCAATCCCCTACTTGTAACCATTGAGGCTACATTCACCACATTTCCAAACAGTTCCTTTGATACAGAAAGTGCATTACTTTACCTTAACTTTCAAAAAAAGGTTTAAGCCATAAGAACAGATTTGGCAAAGTAATACTAAATTAGAACAGCAAAACATCGCAATAAACTAGAGAACCATATGAGGGCACTGTGATACCAGTCCATCACTGCAATTGAACACTCATTAGTGACAAAGCAGTAACATCTTAAAGAGTGAAGAACAAGTTTAGTTATACCAAGTTACTCAAAAAAAAGCAGCTAGCTGTTCAGATTTGGCCAGGGGTCTGACAGCATCTGCATTTACAGCATCATTGGACACAAGTTGGGAAGTTACGCATTTCCCACAGCAGGTGATATTCAGATGTGTTGTCCTGATCATTTTTTAAGTGCAACACTTAAACGGATCAGTCTCCACAGCCCAGATGCTCTAGGGTATTGTACGCAACTCAACAAATAAGAAAAAAAGGGAAAAGCTGCTGCAATGCCAACTTCAGGATCTCCAAATACATAGCCTTATAGCAGATCACAATGTAGGAATTAAGGCAGCTTGTCTATCTTCAATGATCACTGGAATGACGATTATCATACACACTGGGGAGAACACCTGTTCTTTTATAAAGAGAGCACATGGAAGCACACAGCTTTGGTTTTAACATCTTAGTCATACAACATAAACAGACCCTTTTGTCCATGCGGAACATAATCCTAAACTAGTCCCATCTGCCTGCACTTGGCCCATACCCGTCCAACCCTTTCCTACTCATGAAGGTATCCAAATGTCTTAGATGCTGTAACCAAAATTACATCCACCGCTTTCTTTGGGAGTTCATTCCACACAAACCATTAAAAGATTGCCCCCTCCTGTCTTTAAACTTGGACTTCTCATCTTAAAAATATGCCCACTTAAAATCCCCACCCTGGGGAAAGACACCTGGTCATGAACCTTTAAAAACTTTTAAAGTCATCCCTCAACCTCACACTATGATGAAAAGTCCCAACCTACCCAGCCTTATATAACCTAAACCATCCATTCCAACAACATCCTGGTAAATCTCTTCTGAACCCTCTTCAGCTTAATACAATCCTTCATATAGCTGCACACAGTACTCCAGAAGAAGCCTCGCCAATGCAACATCCCAAACTCCTATACTCAAAGAGGGGCAAGCAATCTTCTTCAAAGATCAATGCCACTTGGACATTTGAGTGCACCGAAGGAATGCTATAACATACTGACTTGAACCCAGGATTAAATGGTATCGTTAGAACAAAACCAACCACCACAGTCCTACACTAGAACAGCTATACGTTCTGGAAGCTCAGTCAAGTGCCCAGGGCAAATTTGTAAGTCTTTTTCTAAAGATGGTGATATGACAAAAAAAAAGGTAATTCAGCCTTAATTGTATGGGGAGTTAATTTCAACCACTCCCAAAAATGGCCTTTATTACCTGTTGGAAACGTTCTGAAATGTTTCAGTTTTTCCAACACTCCCACTGTCTCTGGAAAAAACAATGTAGTCCCAGGGCAGGTGGTAGCACTAATGAGCCTGCTCAGTCTATCCATCTCTAAATAGAACTGTCGTCTCAAGACCCTGGAGATTTAACATTGTGTTCAGGAGAACGAATTTACAACATTCTCCACCACCCCAACCCCCATTCTCTGGATGTGGAGCACAAACAAGAACATGGATTAAAAAAGGTCTTGGTGACTAGAAATAACCCCAGATTAGGAGATCCCTGCCCAACCAGTTGGAAGGCTTTATCCAGGGTCACGTGACAAGATGTCACTAGCAGAATTTTAGCATTGCTTCACTGGTGTCCATGGGACACCACACCTTGGAAGTTAGACAGGGGGCAAAAACTGCAAAGAACTCGATCACTTGCCATTTCTTATTGCAACAACTACTAGATAAAAAAGTTAGTTATCCAAATGGTACTGTTCAGTTTCTACTACAAAAGCTTGACCAATATTTAGCTCTCCAGTTCAAGGACACTAGCTATATTCAAATTCAAAGCAAAAAGCAAAAACACAACTTTGGAACAGTCAAAAAGTTGGGGGAAGGCTTTGTACAAGTGAATATTCTTAAATGAAGTTCAAAGGGTTTCCAAAACAACTAAGCTCACGTGCTCCCACAACAATGTCAGGATGTACTGGTCATGCAATGGATGACTGAAAACATGAACCTATTGAGCTGCCACTTGAGACCACAATCTATTGAGCACAGGAACCACAGCAACTGTTAACCTCATTGTAGAGAAAAGTACACAGGGCAAGAGATGTAGTGGTGTTGAATGCTACGAGGACCGGTTAAACCAACAATGTTAGTGTCAATAACAAACAAACATTCAGCTGCTAGGCAACCAACCAACCAGGAGGCAGCACATCTGCCTTCCCACTGATTTCAGAATCCATGCTCAAAGACAAAAAACATTCCCATGAGGGCACAGCATGTCACTTCCAAAAAAAACCAAAACACAAGCAATAGCACAAGGATAATATGGCAGTGTAATCGTCCCCAACTAGTGCTACAGTACTGACTGATCAGGGCAAGATTGGGTGGATGGGGAGTGATTAAAACAAACACTTATTATTTGTTTTTCCTTAGCAGCATAGACTACAGTTTGCTTTGAAATTTGACAATGCTGCAAGGCATAGCAGGAGTCATCTTGATAGATAAACCACATGCAGTTGGTGATGCCAATCAAGATAAGTTACTTTATCAATTCTTGTGAAAGCAACATTGTGACATTGGATTACTAGTCCAGAACCATAGGCTAGTGTCTTGAATATGGGTTTGAATCCCATGTGAAACTAGATTTCAAATTTTAAAGAAAAAAGTACGAAAAAAGAAACTACTAATGCAGTTGCACACACTTAATAATTCAGGAGAGATTATGGCCTAGTGGTATGGTTGCTAGACTATTAATACAGGGACCTGGGTAGAGCTCTGGGGACTGAAATTGTGATTCAGTAAAAATTTGGAATTAGTCTAATAATGACAAATAGTCAATTGGAAAACCCACCTGGTTCATTAATTTCCTTTAGGGAAGGAAACTGCAATCCTCATCTGGTCTGGCTTGTATGTGGCTCCAGACCCACAATGTGGCTGACTCAAATGCCCTCTTGGCAATTAGGGATGGGCAATAAATGCTAGTCTGGTTAATGTCCACATCCAGAGAATAAATAAAACCCAAGATAGACAAGATAGCCCCTTAATAGGGCACTTCTCAGCCATCTAGACAGATTAAAGGATGTTAGGCTAAAGGAAAATGGCTACGGTACAATCAAGGGAAGTAGGTTGAGGAAACTGAAGGGAGACGGGTTGAGTAGGAGTCTTTCAATGCCATCTAGTCAGATTTGGAACTGAAGGAGTGACAAGTCAGCACATCCCATAGACAGTAATATAATGTTGCAGTGTTAACAACTCATAGCAATATTTAAAACTCAAGAACGGGAAAACTTTCCTCTAATCTGGAACAAAGTTCTTGTTGAAATCAAGGTGAACATCGGAGGTAAATTTAAGGCTACGTGCACCAGAACTCCTGATATTTGAGGCAGAGGGCAGAGCATGGTCACCCACCAGCTTGGACAGAATGGCACAAATGGATGGCTTCAGGTTGGAAAGGCACAACTTGACAATGTTTTAATCCTGTATCTTGTAAATATTACAAATGCCAAGTAGTAGAAGGCAGACAACTTGTGCAGCTTTGCCAAGTCTATGACTTAGTCCTGATCAGTGACAAGGAGAAAACTGGTCAACATGAAAACTTCACAAGAGAGGAAAAATACTTGATTCAACTGAGGGACAGACTGCAGTCAAGGAAAGATCTGCAGCAAATCTCAGGTCCCACAACTTGTTCCCAAAGTAGACAGGAAGCAAATATACTCAAATAGGCTGATATGACTGGCAACATGAATCTAGTTCCTATAAACCCATCTCCAAAAATAAAGCTTAAACACATCAGGCAATAGACATTTTAATCCTAGGGAGTTTAAAATGGACAATCATCTCCAAAATCCACATACACTTGACTCTGGGTAGTAGCCCTTTGGAAGTACTGATATTCCATGCCTCCACACAGTTAGAAATTTCACATTTCCTTGAAATTCTGGAATTTCAAAGGGCAATTCCTGGAAATGCTGTCAGGAAAGGAAGATTGCATACAGCTGTGATATCATTTGAAACAATTATGGTTTTTTGGTAGTCCAAGAAACCAGGTGCTTCTCAGCTAAATATCTTAGTACACAATGGAGGTGACACTAAGATTGTAGTTTAAAGGCAGTGACTTAAAAAGTTGCCACAAAAAAAAAAGTATTGTGGTAACATCCAATCAAAATGACAAACTAAACTGCTCAGGGTAGGTGCTGGCTCCAAAGTGGAACAATCAAACCCAAAGACAACACATTAGAAACCCCAAATGGCAATCTTGAAGACTCTTGGGTATTGATTTATAGAAAACTTTCCATCATCTTCAGGGAAAAAAAAGGGAGCGGCAGACTTGAACTAGAGCGATTTGCCAATTGTACTAAGATTCTCAGCTGCAAGGTGATTCTGAAACCTTTCATGGAGTAGGTGCATTATTGGCAAGATCACCTTTTGGTTGCCCATCCCTAATTGCCCTTGAAGTGAGTAGCTTGCAAGAACACGTTAAGAGGATAGTGAAGAGTGAACCACATACTATGTGTCTGCAGTCATGTAGGCTAGACCAGAAATAAAAAAGATGGCAGATTTTCTTCCCAAACATTACATTGAAGAACCAGACAGGCTTGCACAGCAGAGGATAGAGGTCATGATCAATTAGATTAGACTGGCTTTACATTCTAATGTTTGTTAGCTGAAGACAAGCACTCATGCACAATGTCAATGGGCCAAGTGACCACCTCCTGTGCCATACCAGCAGCATGATACCCCAAAACATGAATGCTTCAATTATCTTGCAGACTTTGCAAGTTCAGAGTAGCAACAGTGGCTCTAGTGGCAGCTAGAAACTATAAAGACAGCTTCAAGAATTCCATTGTATTAAAATTGTGGTCATGTGATTGTTGCCATGGTTTTGTGCTCTTTGCTTGATTGCACAAGGCAGTTAGTGCCATGGATGTCCTTGAGGGGATTACCTTTAGCAAAGCCCCAGAACACTGCCACAGTAGTAATTAGCTACAGTGCCCTCTGGGACCTGTTACTTTGTGTTAAGGCAACTGAAAGTCATCTTTACTACTGCTACAGCAATAGTCTCTCGATGGGGGTGGGGGAAGAAACTTACTTTAGCCAATACTTCAGTTGAAGACATGTGGAGTTTCACTTTTTAGTACTGAGAAAGTGTCAAATTTTAATCAGGTAACTAGCACTCAATTTCTTGTTCCAATGAGGGTAGGCCATTTGTCCCTTTAGCCAGGTAGGTCTAAAAAAAACAGATTAAAATTTTATTCAACCTGATCAGAGATACTTTTACACAATGAACAGGTAAGACATGAACCTCGTGACCTGGAGGTAGAGGCACTACCACTGCACCACAAGAGCTCTCTACGCGCATTTAGTTTCCAGCTGCCACAAGTGACTTGTTACTGTATAACTTTGCTCGCAATGAAGGCCAATGTTTGCCTTCCTAAGACCTACCAGTCTATTTCCTTTGACTAAAATCAATGAAGACAGACAGGCTAGTGTAGCAACCAATGAAGGTAAATTGCACATTGGATTCAGAAGTAGGAATGGCCTGGGACTTTGAGACCTTGAGGTATTGCATGCATTTTTTGTCTCCCTACTGGACAAAGTAGGCACTTGTCAGAGTGAAGTAGAAGTTCACAAGACTAATTCCAGGGATGGCAGGTCTGTCCTGCAAGATAACATTAGTAAACAGGCCCATAAAATTTGGAAGAATGAGGCAGACCAAAAAAGACTGAAAACATGTAACATTCCAATAGAGTTAGACAGATGAGATGCAGAGAGCATATGGCCTTGGTAGATAGTCTAGAATCAGGAATCCAGGATTGGCCATTTGTGACTGAAATGAGAAAGGGTGAACAACCTGTGGAACTCTACCAAACTGTGGAAGCTAAGTCATTGAATGTATTGGAGAGAAAATAACAGCTTGTTTACATTTTAAATGCATCATGGGGAAGTTTATTGTTGATTTAGAGAATCAGACATTATATTGAGTGGCCTATGCTTGCTCCTTTAAGATATTGCAGGGGGAGGGGAAAGGAAGGGTGGGGAGGGAAACATGATTAGCATCTAGAGAACTGGCATCAAGAAATGTATGCCTTCAAGAGAAGAAATTAAAATTGACAAGCAGTCCCAGAACACTTAAAAAAAAAAAAGTGTGGTAGGCAGTTTCTTTGGCAAGTGCTCCGTGGGGACTGTACATACGACAAAAACTGGAAAAAAACTCCATTTACCTGTTGTTCATCCATTTTAGACCAGAGCAGAAGATCCAAGGCTTCACAACAGGGTTTCAAGTTGGGGGTTGGGACAGTGAAAGTTTGTAATTGAACTGAAATAATGTCATCATGGGCTCAGATGGAGTTGACACCTGTGCTTCCTTAGACCTCCACACAGCCAACTTGTCCCTGATCTCAATGAGGGGTTAACATTAAGGATCCAAATAGGGATAGTGGGAAAAAAGGTCAGAAAGTATCCTTTTGCAAAAGTCACTTTGGATTTGGAACTATTAGCCTACAGAAGCTATAACCTTACAAAGAGATAATCCTTGTCTGTGGCTTTCAGATATAGAATTTGTCGTAGAGACAAATAAGGTACCAATCTTGCTGGTTGCTTCCTCACACCCCCTCCCCCCCAAAAGCTGTAAGAGTGTTGCCTTTATATAGGCATACCTGAAACCAATAAGATTATTGTAATTTCTTAATCTGTACTCTTGTGGACCACATGGTTTGTGTTGTGATGCTAACTTCTGGCACTGTGGGGTTGGGGGGTAGTGTTGCCAATCCTCCTCAACAACTATTTAGTAATAAAAACCAAGTTTGCTATATGAAGCCCTAATCAAAGCAGTGGTAGAGGATAAACCACTACAGTCAAGTTTTACACAAGATTTGTTTATTCCACAATAAACAGTTAGTTACAACAAGTTAAACATAACTACAAAGACCATCAGGATCCAGCTATAGCCATCACCATCATGACCTTGTGCCAGAAGATGGACAGTTGGAGGGGCCTAATGCAACTTCAGCACCACTTTTTCCCCCCCTGCATCAATATGCAAAAGCATCTTATACTCTGAAAAAGGTGAAAAACTAGTCAAAGTGGGAGCCACTGATCAGTTGGTCAAGATCAGTAAAGTGAGCTGTATGGTGGATATCTGCCTAGTTGTCTAACTCAGACTTAATTCTGAAGAGGAGTTATACCAGACTCAAAACATTAACTATGTCTCTCCAGAGATGCTGGCAGCATTGCATTAATTTCAGTATTTCAGATAGGTTGAGGTTTTACAAACAAAAAAGATGGGCCCACCCCCCAAAAAAAAAAAGTAGTGTCTTTATGATATTAATCTACAGTGACATGAATAAAGATGCAAAGTTAACCAGTAGAATTGAAACCAAATAAAAAAATCTAGCAGCCATGACAATCCATTCCTCCAATTCAATTTCTAAGTTCAAAAACATAAAAAGTAGTCAGTGCTCAGCTCTTTGGCTGATCTTACCTCCAACAAAGAATGAGTAAGGATCAACTGCAAAGTCAGTCCCTGCCAAAACACTCCTGGAATCAATGGAGTTGAAGAATAAATCCAACACCTCATGACTGGTAGGCAGGTTGTTGAGAAACACCAGATCACTTGTTACAAACACCGACCCTCTCCTTTGGTTAAAAAGGGGACATTGAAGGAGAGCAAAAAAAGAAACAGCTGATATTAGAACAAGCCACGTTATAAAGCTGATATTTAACAATTCTGTATACAGGGATTAAGAACTAACTAACAAAATGTTATGATCCTGGCTGAACCTGCTACAGAAGTGATCTGATCCCAAAATGAAATCTGGCTTGATAAAATATTTAAATGTGTATTCAGTGAAAGATTGAAACCAAGTGTGCCAACAAAAATTATGCAAAAACAAGAAGTACTGTATATATTTCAGAGACCTAACAAAGTCTTAGCTACTCCAAGATCACCTCTTTAGTGAGATCAAATTTCAAAGACAGTTTCTATTCTCATCCAACCTATATTGGGCTTAAGTGCTAAGCTCCTGTCTTGAGCTTCAAAGTCTTCTCTCAAATGCTTAAAGAATCTCAACTTTGAACAGTTTGCACAGTTGTAAGCAAACATTCCTGGTCTGGAATTTTCTTGCAATCCTTATTTACATAACATTCCCTTAACAGCTCTTTGAGCAACCTCTAGAAGAAACTAGATTTGCATTTGACTTCAGGCAACTCTCCAAACTGAACCAGAAAAAAATTTTGAACCACATTTAACATTTGCCCATCCTAGATTCTGCTGAGCTAATGCTCAATGTCTCTATTCTAGAGTTGTAAACTCCCACAGTATAAACAAATTTTCCTTAAACACTGGAGGCAGCACATAGGCTTAAAAATATGGATCCACCCCTTCACGCCACTTGTTTGTTATATAAATTTAAAGCATGCATAAGTTTTACACATTTCAGTTTAGAAGACAAGAATTAGATTTTCCAGGGTGTCACAGTCACTATCATGATTTAGGTGAGGGTGGAGGAAGAATTCCTTTGTGGACAGGCTAAATAAGCATCAGGAAGAAGTCAAAGGATTTACTGGTCATTATTTTAAACAAAAACACGAGTGAGGAGATTTTGATTGTACACCATGATCTGTGCAATCACTCACTGGGATAGCTTTCTTCACTTCACAGACAGATGTATATCAAGGAAACAGACCCTTTAGTCCAACTCATCCATGCTGACCAGCTATCTTAAATTCATCCAATCTCATCTGTCAGCATTTGGTACAGATCCCTCTAAATGCTTCCTACTCATGTACCCTTCCAGATGCCTTAAGTTTTGTAATTGTACCACCAGAGGAAGTGCTGGATGGCAGTTCATTCCTTATGTGCACTACCCCCTGCACAAAAAAGCTTGCCCCTTAAGTCCCTTTTACATCTTTCCTCTCACCTTAAACCTATGCCCTCTAGTTCCGGCCCATGCTAACCTAGGGGGAAAAAAAGATATTGGCTATTCATCTCTTCTACACCCCTCATGATTTTAAGCTTCTGCTTTTTACTTAAATTCATTGCTCTGTTTAGCAGAAAAACAGGAATTAAAAGTTTGCTGCATTAAGCCTTCCCTAATGATAGTGGGTGCACCTGCATCAGTTCGAGGCAGCAGTGTACTATCACCTTTTAAAAAAAAAAGAAAGGGGCACCTCCAGGCAACAAATGTTGCCCTAGCTAGCATTACCCATATCTGCAGTGTGCCTATAATTAGAAGATATCCCTCAGGCATTTCAAAAGCAGGTCAGAGGTGACCATTGGCCAGGGACCTGCAGTCTAAACTCCACAGGAAAACCAACAGATAAACAGAGGAACTATTTGGTATTGCACAATTTAAGATTTTTAAGCCACAAGTGAAACTGAGCAGTTATGCAATTGTTTGGTGGGGGAATTTCACTTACCCAAACTGTTTAATCACAGCTTGCATGAAGTGGCCATAGTTTGGCTGCAGGATCATCTGCAACTAAAAGCAAAATTGTTTACTAGATACAAGATCATAGCATTGTTATAGTGCTGAAGGAAGTCACTCCGACTGGGTCCGCACTAAATACAAACAGTACGCAGGCAAAAACATCAGTAATGTAGCAGTCTTAAGGGGAACAGTATCCACTAGAATAACCAAGCCAAGGACTAGGATATGATGTCCTAGAATAGAGCCAGGACACCGAATCTAAATTGACAGCTACAATAAAAAAAAGTGTTCTGAACCAGTTTCCCCACAACACACCTCACCTCTAAAAATGAAATAAACTTAAAGATCCTAAGCTACTCAAAACTTGCTCAAGTAAATGTGTAAGCTAAAAGCTTCTCGTATGGCATGTTGGCATCATTGGCAAGAATGGCATCTATAGCTCCCCTTGAAAAAAGTGCCCTAAGCCATTTCAGATCAGAATCACATTCATGGCTCTGGAATCTCAGGCCAGACTAGGTAGGGATGACCAGCTTCCTTCCCAAAAAGGATATATGTTTTTAAAACTAGAATTGATGGTCTTGTATTAGACAAACTCAAATTCTAGATTTTGGTGAAATTTTGAATTTCACACAATGCCATGGTGATTTGAATTTGTATTTACAGGAAGTTAGCTGGTGGTTCAGTGCAATGACCCCACTGTTACTGTAAACAAACATAAGCTACACATGAATCTTCTTGCTATGAAGGTCAAAGAGGAGGAACAAGGATGTCTTGCCACAATTATACTGGGCACACCTGGAATGTGTACACGATTTGGGTCTCATTGGAGGAAGATGTTCTTGTTAGAGGGATTGCAAAGTTTGACCAAATTGATTCCTGGATTGGTAGGACTGACGTGGAGATGGAGTCAGTTAGAATTGCATTTGCTGGAATTTATAATTGTTTGGGGAAGGGGCTGGTGAAGTTGGTGAAATATCAAAAGACTTCAAACCAACAGGACTAGACAGGTTCGATGCAAGAAAAAAAATGCACACACTGGGAGGTCAGGGAGTCCCTAAGTAGGGCAAAGATTAATGAGTAAACCATTTGGATCAGATGAGAAATTTCTGACTGGTGAGCCTATGGAACTTACTACCATTGTAAGTGATCAAGGCTAAAACATTGGCATTCAAGTAGCTAGATATAGCTCTCATGGCTAAAAGGGAACCAGGAGGCAGGATTATGGTATTGAGTTCTATAATCAACCATGATCACAATGAATGGATGAGCAGCCAGGGGGTCAAATAGCTTACTTCTAGGTTAAATGTAACTAGGCTTAGTTATGGATTCTGCAACTGCAGATGGAGTAAAGTGGGTTCTGGAGTCAGTGCCCTTTCTACAAAGTTTGCTTCGTTATTCAATTGTAACAAGGACTAGAGATTTAGTCAAAGACTTTGGCCATTCTTTTATGGAAAGAGCAACAGAATGGAACTCTAGAAATGATTGCACAACCAACAGACTGAACGTTTTAGGCTCAATATAGAAAGCAGGACAGTTCAGTCAGACTACTTTAGGACAAAAATCAAACCTTTGGGGAGGCAGGGAGAGAAAAGTGATCAGTGGAATAACAAAAATCAAATGAATTCTGATAGAAAATGCTGGAAAAGTCTGCCAGACTTTGAGCTTGATCTTGGAGATCATGAGGCAAATAGAATTGATCAAGTTAGTATAAAAATTAACTGCATCCAAATTTGGTCATCTATTGAAGAGGCTTAAAAAACTGGGCCAGACTAGAACAGTATGCGACCCATTGTCTGAGGTAACACATGGTAGGAGAAGCAATTCTTTAGTAACGAAGCAGCTAGCTTCCTATCTGCACAAACAATCAATTAGACATTATATTCTGTTAAGGTGGTGTCAAACAAACAAAGTCTACAGAAAGCCAATCTCCCCACTATCCTGAAGATAGCAAAATACATTACATTTTCCTTACGCATACCATAATCCTGGTTCCCCTTAAGCCACAACAGCTATATCTACCTACTTGAATGCCAATGTTTTGGCCTTGATCACTTACAATGGTACTAAGTTCCACAGGCTCAGTCAGAAATTTCTCATCTGATCTAAACAGTTTACTCATTAATCTTCATCCAACTTATGGACTCCCTGACCTACTAGTGGGTGCATTTTTTTCTTGCATCAAACTGGTCTAGTCCTGTTGGTTTGAAACTGATTTCTAGATCCTACTCCCCATTTGCAGACCCTTCCATACTAAAACTAAGTGCTATCCGAAGCACATGATTAATACTTATAGCACTATCGTCTGTATAAAGTCCTGTAGATAAGTCAGATTTATTGTTGTCAAGCTCGACACTACATGTCACAAGATCTTGCCCAACCCATTGTTCAGAACTACACTCAAGGTGCATTGTACACAAGATATCAGCTTCCAGTCGAGTCAGTCGCCAACTTCATCTGCAAGTGACTACACCCTAATGTTAAATCAACCATGAAGTGCTGTTGAGCTGCGAGAGAATGTAAAGAGCTCTATATTTTCTAGACTAAATTGGAGCCAAAAACAGATTTTACATAAAGTGGCAACATTTTCCTGATTATATTGCACATCCCACAATCAGATGGCCAAGTCACCAGCAAGATCAAAGTATTAAAAGCTACATAAAATACATACTACTGCAACCAGTTAGGCAGCCATAATGATGTCTTTTCTTTTATAAAGACTGATCAAAGAACAGAACATTAGCAAAAGCAGAACAAGTACCTTTTGCATCATGGTCATAACATTTGTGGCAAAAAAAAAAGGGAAGCATTGCCTAGACATTATAACTTAAAAAGACCAGAAAAAAGGAATCATGATAAAGGAACTTACTGCTTGGGTCACAGCCTTGCCAAGGCTGCAAAAATACACAGATCGTGAATCTCTGAGAGTAGAATTGTATTTCCGGTTGGTGATCAGAAAGGAAATTGGAAGAACTCCAACATTAACACCAGACCCTATGAATACAAGAGAGAGATTAAAGCAGCATCCAAATGCCCTGCTACTTAAATATCACTTTCCACCTATTGATAGCTAACATAGGTATTTCTCAGCTTTGTTTTAGTGAGATGTTGGGATCCATTATTTGGCACGTTAGAGTGTATAGAATTACAGCAAATAAAGTCTGCACCACTTGTTACTCGGTCCATTTTTTACTTCTGCATATATGTTTTTTAAAAACACATTTACCTCAGGTGAGGCAGTCGAGTTTGCGACTGATCATCAACACGAGTTAATCATATATGCTCAAGGTCACAAGACTGCCATTACACGCCCCAAAACCACAAGCAAGAGGGTCTACTGGTCACCAGTTAAGTCAAGTTGTCCTTCAGAACTACTAGCCTGAAGATATGCAGGGGAGGCTGTTGTGACCAAAGGTCACTTGTTCTTATTATGCAAGCGGTGGGTCAATTACTGCATGTTCATTCACTACTTTCCTTGAGTCACTGACCAAATCTAACAGTCATTCAGTTTTAGCACAGAAAGAACAGAACCAATGATATCCTTTTGATAAAACAGCAGCTATCCTTCATGCTGTTTGCAATTCAGTTGGACAAGCTACTAAACTTCATGGATAAGAATGAAGTCTCTGGTACAAATGGCCCACAGTGCATTGTTCTTAGTTGCATCCCATCTTTTAACTGTGACAACTCAGCAACATGTTTTCAATAAACTTGGGAAGAACATTTTAAAAATCAGTGGTAGTGGTAGTGTTATTTCATTGGATTGGTCATGGAGCTCCAGCCCTACGTTCTGAGGTCATGGGTTTGAGTCCCACACCATGGCAGATGGTGAAATTTCAATTCAAGCGTTCACCTAATCATAGAATCAATCCCTACAGTATGGAAGCAAGCCATTTGGCCCATCAAGTCTACACTGACCTTCTGAAGAGCAGCCCACAGAGACTGAACCCCAACCCCCCCGTCTATTCCTGTAACCCTGCATTTCCCATGGCCAATTCACCCAACCTGCACATCTTCAGACGGTGGGAAGACGCCCACTCAGACATAGGGAGGTGTAAACTCCAGTCATCTGAGGGTGGAACTGAATCCAGGTCCTTGGCATAGAGGCTGCAGTACTGCCCACTCAGCCACTGTACCACCCATGTAATGCCAGCCATTATCAACAGTCAAAAATAAAACTCCGATCCACTAATGTCATTTAGGGAAGGAATTCTGCCAGCTTTAGTATAGCTCCATTACTACATTAATTGGTTGACTCAAATACCCTCTGGACAAATAGGATCTGGGTAGTAAACATTGACCAGCCAGTGACATCCACATTGTAAGCAAATTTTAATCTCAAAAAGAGTCATCAGCCCTGGCCTGCCCACCCATCCTTCATAGCATAGCCTTTCAACCCACAAAAGCAGAAGAGGGGAACCTTTGACTGTAAAAAGAATGATTCTTTTGGGAAAAGACCAAATTATACACAAACCAGGAGGGCTCACCTTAGCCCTGCTGTAATAAAAGCTTACATTCCATTCTTCCTGGAATGGAAACACCGACTTTCCATTTGCCTTCCAATCACTTTTATTTAGCAGCACTCCCAGATTCCCCTGTACTCCAATTCTGCAATCTTCATTTAATTAGTATACTGCTTTTATTCACGTTGCCAAGTACATGAGTTCACATTGTGCTAGCTATAGTTAGGCACCCCAAAGATCCTTTCCCTCCAGACTCATGCCAGTACAGGGATACCCACATATTCTCACTATCTATTCCTAGGTTTCAGTTAGAAAAAATGATTGGCTTGTAATTCCAAATTGGTACTTAACTCCACCTCATCTACATAGAGACCAAAATCTCTAGGTCCAGATGACCCTCATTCTATGGTCTTAACAGGTTGGAAATGTTTAGGTGGTAATTTTCCAAAGTTCCCAGGTTCTAGGAAAGGTTCCATTGGACTGGAAAAATAGCAAATCAACCCCTCTACTCCAGGCAGCAGGTGTCAGAGAACAGAACATTATAGGCCAGTTAGCTTGATGGCTGTCAAAGGGAAGGTATTGGAATCAATTAAAGAAATTATAGCTGCACAACTAGATGAGCTCAAGGTAATTAAGAAGAGTCAGCATAGCTTTATCAAAGGGAAGACCATACTTAACCAGTTTATGGAGCCCTTTGAAGGAGTAACATGCTGTTAGCAAAGGGGAGATATAAATACTGTACTTGGATTTCTAGAAGTTACTTAGGGTGCCACATGGAAAAAGATTATTGCAGAACTAAGCTAAAATGGGAAGTAACAGGTCAGCATGGTATGGCCAGGAGGCAGAAAAAACCAACATACGTAGAGGGGATACTAGGACCCAAGGGGACAAGCTGTTAGAACAGAGGAGGAATTTCTTCAGCCAAAGGGGTGAGAAACTGTGGAACTCATGGCCTCTAGTTTTCTATGGCAAAGTCATTGTCTTTAAGACAGATATAGAATCTATGAGAGGTGATCAAGAGTTACTAGGTAGAGGGCAAGAGAATGGAGTTGAGAAACTTTGGCCATGATTACATGGTAGAGCAGACTTAATGGGCTGAATGGCTTTATTTTAGTCCTCCCGCTTATGGTCTTTGACAAGCAGGACGTGAAGAGTACATTCCCACAGGCATCTGTGCAGGGACCTCAACTTTTAAAAACAACAAGCAACAATTGAGGAGTGAAGATGTGGTAGCTAAATTCACATGATACCAGATGACAGGAAAGAATGTTGAAGGAAACAATGGCTGTTGCAAAGGGAGGGGGTAGGTCATGAGGGGCCAGAACAGATGGGAAAATATGATCACAGCTGATGTTATTACTGGAGGAGTCAAATCCCAGATTAAGACAAATCATCAAGCCAGATTTCAACAACACATTCTTTCACTGAAACAAAGAGACTGCAAGCTTTGTTTTAACAATAAAAGCAGAAGTGTATTCACTAAAGAATAATAATAAATATTTTGAAGCCATGTTAAGTTACAATCCACCAATCCCATAGGCACTTCTTTACAGTTCTCAACTGCATCTAAAAAATCTTAATTTAACTGTGGCTTCAATTTGCCTGAAAAGTCTGAGCCTTAACCCCAAATCATAAAGGAAAAAGATATATTGGCATTGGAAGCAGGCCAGAGAAGGTTCACTAGGCTCATCCAGGGTATGGAGGGGCTGTTTTGAGAAGTTGAGTAGGTTGGACCTCTACTTGGAGTTGAGGAATTAGAGATGACCTTATTGAAACAAAGATTCTTAGGGGGACTTGACGGGGTTGACGCAGAGAGGATGTTCCATCCTGTGGGAGAGTCTAGAACTGGAAGGCATAACCTCAGAATAAGAGAGGGAGGCTACATGTTTAAACCAAATGGAATAGAGGGTAGCACATGAGGATTTTTGTTTTTACTTCAGAGGGCTTTCAAGACTGGGTCATTGAGTATATTCAATACAAATTTTAAAGGAATTAAGGAACTCCAGAAATAATTAATCATTGATTAATTTAATAAGTTAATCATTGATCTGTCCATAGAAATGGACAAAACCCACATTATGAATTCAAAATGCAAACTAAAGCAAGTGATATTTTAATATGCAAATGCTACATTACAATGAAATTCTTCACTTGGCAGGAACAAAAAAGGGCAGTATTAAAACAGAACAACTGCAAAATCCCAAAGGGATTTCAGCATTTAATGCAAGAGTACAAAATACTGGTATGGAGGTACAGCATCAAAGTGACTAATGGAATGCTATCCATTAGTACAAAGCAAATCAAAAAACAAGGAGGATGTTATGTTTCAGTTATACAGAACATTAGAGAAGTTTATACCATGCAGAGTTTTGGTCTCAAGGATGGAAGCAGTTCAGAAAACTGGATTGAGTCATTCTCTCAAGAGATTGAACAGGCTAGGCTCATCTTATTGGAATTTAGGAGAGGGGTAACTTGATTGAAAGTGAGACCCTGAATGGCCTTGTTAAGCTAGACATGGAAAGGATATTTACTGTGGGCAATGTAGAGCTAAGGGGCACTTTCAGAACAAAACATCTCTCTTCTCTTCCAGGGTTGAGACACTCCGGAACATTGCCTTAAGTCAGTGGAAGCAGAGAGATTTAACATGAAGATCCCAGTCTAACAAAAATCTCAGGTTAAGTCAGGGTTAGGTGGGAATGTAGATTTCAAAATAGAAGTAGGTCAGCCATGATCACATTGAACAGCAGAGTAGGCCCGAGGGGCCAAATAGTCTACTTTTGCTCCTATTTTGTAGGTTTGTGCACAAATATGAACTAGATACCACTACTCCTCTCCACACTACTGCTGGCTGAACATTTCCAACATTGTTGGATAAGGAAACATTCGTTTAAAGTATAAACTTTGAAGCAGTCACAGGTTACTTAAATTTTGCCACAATTAAATGTGATACACAAATATTGGTTGCAAATTATTGTATCTACATAGAATTCCAAGAACCACATGCAACATAATGCATTTGTCAAAATCATGAAACTTACCATTTACTTTCAGAGATCTCAGATCCACAGAATTGTTAACAAGGTTGCTAAGTAATTGCAGAGCCTCAACATCATCGACATGTACAGAAGTGATCAACAGTGCTGTTGCCTGAAGGTTCACATCTCCTTGGAGACGTCTGCAAATAATTAAATACAACAACCAAATTTCAGTATCTACAGACTTGCCAATTCTGCAAACCCAGCAATTTCTTTGCTTCAACTGAATGCTCTTATTTGTTAGATAGAGACATTAAAGACCTAAATTTGGCAGGTCAATTAATTATGACAACTTTTGTATATAACCAAGGCAATATGCAACTATTAGTACAACAAACACCATGAAAGCATTTGGAATGACTTCTATGCAATTTTACTCCAATGCATTTGGAAACAAGCTGACCTCAAGCTGGTAGTACAGAACAAACCAAGCTGGCATTATTTGCTGATCCATCTGTACTTCAAGACATTGAAGTTCTTACAAGCATGGAGACCAAGAACTTTGAAATGGATAGCATAATGCTGTACCAAATGAGCTTTTGCACACAATTTTATCCAGGACTGAGTGAATAATGCCCCAGCATTGGAATACTGCATAGTTGATTGAATGATCAACAATAGATCATTTGTAGCCAAGTTACAAAACTGTCAATCATTGATGGAATAGTTCATTAATGCCTGATGAATCACTGGCTAAAATTTATCCAGAAAGATGATTGCATTCATGAATTTTCAGAGCACAACTAAGTGCAGGCAGCACACATTTATGTTAGTCACAGTAACAGGATGTCATAAAACATGATCACTTATTTAGGAAAGAAAAAAGTAAAGCCAATGCTATTTTCAGGCTCCACAAAGTTTTAATTCAACATGGACTTCAAATGCTTTAAGCAGTCAAGATTTGTAACTCCCACACCTGTTACTAGCTGTAGACAATTCAAATTCACAATTGTGGATAAGTCAGAAGATGGATTATTCTTCAACTAGAAGTTTCCTTTTCATTGTTTGGCTTTAGATACAAGATTAATATGATCTGTTGTCCTTTGCTGTTAGTGTCAAAGGTAACTGCAAAGATTTCAGTTGTGCAGTTAAACCCAAAAAAGGACATTTACAATATGCTTAAAGATTTTGGGAAAGTTGAGATGACTAGAGGGGTAAATCATTAAACCATAAATCTGAATGACCCTCTATCCTGAGAAATCAACTATTAAAATAGGAGCAGAATTAGGCCATTCAGCCCTCTAAGCATGCTCTGCTAATCAACTGCATAATGGTTAAGGATCAATCTTAATGCCATACTTACTTTCTCCCCATACCTTTTGATCCCTTAAGCCCAAGATGGATATCTAACTGCTTGAAAACTTAAGGTTTCGGCCTCACTTTGTGGTACAAACTTCCACAGGTTCACATTCTGGGTGAAGACATTTCTTATCTCAGTCCTACCCCGTATCCTCAGACAGACCCCCGGTTCTAGGCTTCCCGGTCATCAGAAACATCTCGTCCTGTTAGAATCATCTTGTTCTTAATAAGGCGTCCTCATTTTTTAAAATTCAGGTGAATATAGTCCTAACAAGTCTAGTCTCTCTTCACATGCCAGTCCCGCCATTCCAGGATGGAGTGTAGTAAGCTCTAGCTGCATTCTCTCAACAAGAATCCATGTTTTGTAACTTTTAGTTAAACACTAGTCAGAAACAATACAAGTTACACATGAATAAACTGATGGTTCAACTCATGAAATGAATTTCACTGAAACAGTGAATACGGTCATGGGGCAAGTGTCTGGTCATGGGGCAAGTGTCTGCACATGGGGCCAACTTCACTGATCTGACCCTCTAATTGTAATCAGTTGCAGACATATTCCATCAGAAGTCCCCATGTACAATTACCTTCAACACGATGCATATCTACTAGCATCCTCACTCGGGTCCACAGGGCTTGAAGTCAACTTTCTAGACTGTCTGACGCTGTCCCCACCCCATCCCCAGGTTTGTAACCTGATCCAAGATATAAAGTCACTGACCTTTCACATGCCTGAGCTTTTTTGCACCACGTTTCAGATTTCATGCCCTTTTAGCTCACTCATTGCTGCTAAAAGGTTGAGTCTGTATTCCTTCTTGATGCCAAGTGTTTTTGAAGTGCTTTACTACCTTCTCATTTGTGCATCTCAGCTTAGACTGATCACCTTCATGCTCCAGCTTTCTGCCAGCTATTCTTCATCTGGCCAAATGATATGGCAACTTCCTGTTGCTACTGTTTCCAGGTGAAGGGTTGCCAAACTACATGGAACTGTGTCCCTCATTATCCAAGGAAATTACTTCTGATATCTTTCCAAGAGATTCAGGAATAAAAGCGCTGGTCAGAGGCCAGCATAGTGGAACAAAAAAAAGTTCTGCCACAATACTCAAAAGCTTAAAAAGGACATCGACAAGTGGGAGGCTTTCAAGGGTGTGATATTGAGAGCTCAAGCATTATGTTCCTTTCTAACAGGAACAATGGATGAATAAAGATACTATGGTTATAGTCAAGAATACAAGAAAAGAACTTATATTGACAACTTGGTTCAATTTAATCCCTTAAGAAAAAAAAAGTGTAGGGGTATTAAGAAATCGGGAAGACCAAGGGGATATGAGATAGCATTGGCAGATAAGGTTAATGATAATCCAAAGAGATTTTACAAATCTATTAAGAGCAAGATGGTAACTAGAGCGGATCAAGATGAAGGTGGTCATTTTGTGTTGAGCCCCAGAAGATGGGACAGATACTAAAATGAATATTTGTCAGTTTTTACTGTGGAAAGAGGAAAAAAAAAGGAGACCAGGAGAATGGAGGTAAAATTGACTTTTTAAAAACAGTTCACATTAGAAGAAGTTCAGAAGGTCTTAGAAAATTAAGGTTGATATGTCTCTGGGACCCAAACTAACATATCCTAGAACATTGTGGGAAGGGAAGAAATTGCAAGATCCCTTACAGAAATATTTGCAACATCTGTAACTATGGGTGATGTGCCTGATGACTAGAGGGTTGCTAATGTAGTACCTTTGATTAAAAATGGCTGCAAGGAGAAACTGGGCAACTACAGATGCAAGTGTCTAACTTTGGTTGTGAGTAAATTGTTGATTTTAAAGTGATGTGATTTATGGACATTTAGAAAGAGGCAAAGAATGATTAGAGATAGTCAATGGTTTTGTGCAAGGAAAATGTTGTCTGTCAAATTTGATTGACTTTTGAGGAAGTTATTAAAAAGATAGAAGACAGAGCAGTAGATGCTGTTTACTTGGACTTTAGTAAAGCCTTTGACAAGTTTCCACATAGTACTCTAATTAGTAAAGTTAAGTCACTTGAGATTCAGGGTGCGAACTGGCTTAACAGGAGACAATAATGAAGGGTTGCTTTTCAGACTGGAAGCCTGACACCAGTGTTCCATAGGGAACAGTTCTGGGTCCACTTTTGTCTGCCATTTACATAAATAATTTGCATGAGAATATAGAAGGTATGGTTAGAAGTTTGCAGACATATTCAGCAGTGAAGGTCGTTCTCTAAGATTACAAAGGGATCTTGATCAAGTGGGTCAATGGGCTGAAAAATGGCAGATGGAGTTCAATCCAGATAAATGTGAGGTATTGCCTTTTGGTACAAACAAATGTAGGACTTACAATTAACAGTGGGGTCTTGGGTAGTGTTGTAGAAGAGGGACTTAGGGGGTTCACGTATATATCATTCTTTGATGTTTGCATCATAGACAGGGTGGTTAAAAAGGCGTTTGGCACGCTTGCCTTCATTGCTCAGTCCTTTGAGTATAGGAGTTGAAGTCATGTTGAGGTTGTACATGGCATTGGTGAGGCCTCTTCAGAACTGGCCACAGTATTCTAGGTCACGTTGTTATGGAAGAATATCAAGCTGGAGAGGGCTCAGATGAGATTTACCAAAATTTGACAGGTATGGAAGGTTTGAATCAAAAAGGCTAGAACTTTTCACTGGAGTGTACAGCTTGAGAGAAGACCTAAAGAAGTTTCTGTACCCCTCATTATCTTAGAGTCAATGTTAATTGTCTTTTCCCTAGGATGGAGATTAAGACTCCAGGGCACATTAAGACAAGAGGAAAGAAATTTTAAAAATTGCAATTTAAGAAAAAAAAAGCAGGGTGGTTTGGGTCAGGAGTAAACTTAGAGGAAATAGTGGATATGGGTACAATTAGAGTTTGAAAGATATTTGGATAAGTACACAAATAGAAAAAAGGTTTGGAATGATATGGGCCAGGAACAGGAGAGGTGGGACTAGTTTAATTTGGGATCATGTTCTGCATGGATTGGTTGGACTGAAAGGTCTGTTTGTGGAGTGACTGACTCCACTCAGTCTCAGGAGAGATTTCCTGAGGAGTGATGCTTAACATCTTAATTCTGAAGGCCAGTTGGCTAGTTTACAAAAAAGTGGTAAGATAAAATTTACAAGGCAATTGAGAATCGCATGCTAGAAGGACTGCTCTTGGAGATGTGGGTTAGCAAAAGCAGTGTTGGAGCCAAATTTCATGATACTTCCAATTAAAAGGTCATGACCTTGGCTGCATACCTTGGACAAGCTTCAGCCAACTTGATTGGAAATATACTCACATGGATCTTGTAATATTGAACTCTTGGACCAGATACTTTTCCTCCAGGGTTTCCACAACCTTTAAAGACAAACCTCATTTAAAAAGACTGCAGGGAGACATTTTTACTATGTAAAAAAGATACCATTCTTCAAAATTTGAATTCAAGGAGTAGAGAAGGCATTTATGCAGTTTTATTTATAAAAGGTTTAAAGGAAAAATAGATGTCTTCAACTGCTGGGAACAGTCAACATTTTATATACCCAGTTGCACACTGTCAGGCTCAATGCAAAGAATTGATTTGTCATATTAGCGTAAAACAGTACTTGGAGAGGAAAGATGATGTATATGGAATCATTTTGGTTTACTAGTTCATAGCAATTGTTCACCAAACAAATCTAGGAAAGACATTCAAATGTGAACCCTGGAAAATGAAGAATCTTAATTCAATTTAGAAAGTTGTGCTCAGTTTTGCTGATTCCAAAGTGATTAATGGTCATAAGAGTCCCTAGTAGTCTAACATTCTTTAGTGAAATAATCCTATCCTCACTTGATCTGAAGGAACACAGCAGGCCAGGCAGCATCAGGAAAGCTAATGTTGTGGGTTGGGACACGTCTTCAGAAATCATTTCTGAAGAAGGGTCCTGACTAAAAGCATCAGCTTTCCTGCTCCTCTGCTGCTGTGCTTCTCCAGCTCCACACTTCTGACTCCAGCATTCGTAGTTCTTATTATCTCACTTGATCCTAGCTGTGAGAAATGTCCTATAATCAACCATGAATTAATGCTCCACATTCCCTTTAAAAAGTGACCCAATAAACCTTTTCAGTTAGAGCGACGCAGCAACTATTGGTTTTGTCAAAGCTCAGATGAGCAATGTAAAACTAGGAGACTAATCCATGATGGAAAGTTGACATAAAAATCATTGCTTAGCTATTTGTGGTACAGTGGACAGTGAAGGTTACCTCAGTACAATGGGACCTTGATAAAGTGGGCTGAGGCATGAAGATGGAGTTTAATCTGTATAAGTGGGAGGTGCTGCATTTTGGAAAGGTAAATCAGGGCAGGACTTATACACTTAAATGGTAAAGTCCTAGAGGAATATTACCAAACAAAGACCTGGGGGTGCAGGGTAGTGAAAGAGGCATTTGATACACTTGCCTTTATTGATCAGTGCATTGAACATAGGGGTTGGAAGGTTATGTTGTAGCTGTACAGGTCATTGGTTAGGCCACTTTTGGAATAATGCATTCAATTCTAGTCTCCCTGCTATAGGAAAGATGCTCTGAAGCTTGAAAGGGTTCAGAAACGATTAACAAAGGACATTGCCAGGGCTGGCGCATTTGAACTATAGGGAGAAGCTGAATAGGCTAGGGTCTGTTTCTGTGCTGTACATCTAACTATTTTATTGCAACATTCCTGAAAGTCTCAAATTTAGGTTGATTAGAGATGGAGTAACAAATTAATCCAATTTTCCACTGTTTATCTTCATTAACTACCCAATGTGGAACATTACCCTAGAATACTACACAAATAGAAGCGGAGTGGTACAGATTAATAAAATTGGAATTTCCCAAAAAGATTTACAGACAACCCCTTACTTTGCACAACATTTAAAAAAAAAAATCAAAGTTTTGAACTTCCACATGACCCTATATAAGCCACCAGATCTAAGATTTTGAACTGCAGACCTCAAGTAAACAGATTATATATTTGTTTGGATTTGGTAAAATACCTACCAAATTCTTCAGATGCTCAAGCAGCTCTGGATAAAATGCTGAGTCATCAGACCATGGACCAAATCCTGTGCTCAAAGCTGTGAATTCAATGGTCATTCTCTCAGGCACCAGGTTTGCTAGACTATAACCTGAAAAAATAATTTTAAAGGTTTCTTATCGAATCATTTTAATTTGGAAGTAGTCTTCAATAGTATGGAGGATTGATTCCACAGAAGGCCAGAATATTGTAACATATGCAATAAAATTAGCCAACTCTTTAGATCAGTTGTTGGTCTATTTTAAAGGCAAACATCAAAATGTTTGCTATATATTCTGTTCAGGAAGTACAGTGCACCAGAATGAGGTTTCTACAGTCTCAGACTGAACCACATGCATTCAATCAAGGAACAAAATGAAAGATTTCCTGGAGTGTTGGTATGTGTTTGTGAAATAGAGTTGGTAGGAAAATCTAAAGCATGAAGACATTGACTTTAGAAAGCTCCCAAACATTTTCTGAAGTGAGAAAAGTAAAAAGGGACCTCAAATTGCACTCAAATATGCCAAGCTGCATTCATATGTTCAATCAACTTCAAAATGCAAAGTTAAAACTCCAAATGGGGCAAAGGAAAAAGAATGCTTTTGCACATTTGCTAGAACATCCCCAACAAGTCCATTCTCTTTACTCTGCTCTCAGAACTCATTAGAGCTGGAAATTCCAGTGTCTGCAGGTTGACTGCTATGGGCTTTCAACCTATTCTGCTCCAGAAAGCAAGAATGAGAGGACAAGATTTAAAAATACTATTGACAGGCCAAGATTAAGTTGGTTTTTAAACTGTTTAACGACAGTACCACTATTTTTGTATTCCCATAGCAAACTATTTGAATTTCAAGGCTTCTTGGATCTTTAAGAAATGAGGAATATTAGAGCAGCTTATTAAATGGGGGCTGCAATGATATTTTCTTTACCTTAAAGTTAACTTCACTCAGGGGTGGGGGGTGAGGAGAAGAGGGGCAGGGAAGGCAATGACAGCTACAACATTATCCCACATGCAAGTGCATTTCATTCACAAGAGTCTTTTTAAAAAAAAACAAACACTCACCATTGCAAACAACAGAATTGGCATCAATCTCCAAATCAGTTGGAACCAGATCTTTGCGGTACACATGCGTAAGCACTGTTCGAACAACATCAGAACTACTTGGCAGAACAGCATCATTCTGGAAGACCAACTCACTCTTCACTTTAACTGACCCATTCCTGTGCATCATGATGTATAACAGTCAAACAGGAGTTTCTGAACCATTAGACATTTATCACATGGCTTTGTAATAAAGCATTTAGGGGGGCATCATGCAGGTCTTTCAGCTTGTCAAAATTAGATCCTCAAGCCAAGCTAACTCCTCATTCTGACAACTGTCAGCAAAATTCACCCTTCAGGTAGCAATTCTGTTAGGTGTTGAGTAGACAAATAACCCATTATGCAGAATGGCAGGTTGCTTTGCAGTTTTACAGAATCAAAAAAAGAGTATTAAGTTTCACATCTGTAAGGGTCCCAATTTAGAAGAATGTGTGCACACAAATTGCCTCTAATTAGACCCCCTTCCTTCTACCCAAGGTGGGTGCAATATGCTGGGGTAGCTTTACATCTTGTCAATTGTGGCCATTTATCCAGCCTGTTGTACAAAAGGGGCATCAACAGGCCTAGAATTAGGCCAGGATACAATCAGCTTTTAAGATATTAGAGACATTCAGCATCATAATTTCATATTTTAAACTAGTACCTCTTTAGCCAAGGGCTAGGAAAGCAATGGCATTTTTCAAAGAAAAAGAAAACAAACAACTTACCACCAACCAACATTTCAGGATTTCAACATCTCTAGTTTTAATCAGGTTGGAAATAACAACACCAGGTTGTAGTCCAACAGGTTTATTTGAAAAAAATCACAAGCTTTCAGAGACTTCACCTGATAAAAAGGAACAGCACTGAAGGCTTGTGATTTTGAATATATAGTGTGACTTCTGACTTTATCCACTCCAGTCCAACACCAACATCACCTCAACTTTAGTGGTCAGAGGTGGAGACATGGTAGCTGTCTTTTTTGACGTTATACCATGCAATTGGCCTACCGCATCTTTAAGGCCAACTAGGGGTTAAATCTAAAGTCCTAGGTTCTCTGTTCAAATTCAGGAGACTACCTGGTATTAACAGCTAGACAATGTAAACCAACCACCACCTCAATTTAAAAAGAAGGTCTGACGTATGTGGCAAGATAAGCACGAGAATCAGTTAAGATAAAACAGATCTAATGTAAAGGGCAGCATCTAAGTTGGAGATCATCTAACAGAATCACTAGTGTGGAAACAGGCCCTTTGGCCCAGCAAGTCCACATCAACCCTCAGCATTCCACCCAGACCCATCCCTCTGTAACCCACCTAATCTACTATTCCTGGACTATACGGGCAATTTAGCACAGCCAATCCACCTAGCCTGCACGAGGAAACTGGAGCATCCGAAAGAAACCCACGCAGACAGGGAGAATGTGCAAATTCCATACAGCCCAAGGGTGGAATTGAATCTGGGTCTCAGGCACTTAGAGGCAGCAGTACTAACCACTCAGTTAAGTGATTTCTTTGCATTTGTAAAGAAATCACATGTTCAGATGATGCAAGAGGAACTGACATTGCCTGTCCTAAATGCACATTTAGTTTTCACTCTACACGTTGGTAGGTTCCAGATTGGGCACAAATGTAGTAAAATAGGCATCATTAAATAAAAGAAAAGATTGACCTTTTGTATTGATTGCAAGAGCCCAACATAAAAAAGGAAAGAAAGAAATTCCTACTTACGCAAAATTAAGAATCTTGGTTTCAAGAAAGCTGTCACCGTAGCGTGCAGAAAATATGGGGTCCAGCTGAAATAAATAGCATCTCTTGAATTACATTGCAAACTAGCCATCCAACCAACTAAGCAACTGACCCTCAACTCCCATGCCAGCTGAGGTGGCCAAGGACTCAACCTCAACCCCATCTGAGGCACTGTGACCCTCAGGTTAAACCACTAGAGACATCTCCAGTGACAGCAGCACCATGGTCCTTTCAAACTATGGCAGCTTTACCTAGCATCAGAAATTTTATGCAGCGAGTCATGACAATGGAACAATAAATTGCCCTAGCACCATGTCCCCTACAGAACAATTGACTTTAGATTCCTGCCTCAATTCAGTGAAATGGCATCTCAAGCACATGACTACTATTACTTGGAAAATTTTAATGTTAAAAAATTAGGTCCACTTGTCTCAGACCTAAGAGTTTATGCCTGCAGTATTTACCCAATTTCATTTTTGAAGGGCAGAATTAAGAACCAATTCAGTTTGTATTGTACAGCCACCCACTACCCAAGGGAAAATGTCCTTCCTTTCTGGTTGCACCTTGTAAAATATGACAAGGTAAACACTAAATTTGTTCAACCACATGGAAAGCTACTACATAATAGGCTGGGTTTAAAGTCTAATGTTACAAGCCCATATTATAAGAAAAATGATACAAGGTAAATAATCCTTTGAAGTAATTTGTTAGAACTTCAACATTGCTACATTCAGTGAGAAAGTCAACTGCAATCATTCCAGCTTCAAGCACAAGATAGGGACTCTGACTGAAGCCATTTATTCAGTCATACAGCATGTAAACAGACCCTTTGGTCCAACCAGCCCATGCTGGCCATAATCCCAAACTAAACCAGTCCCAACTGCCTGGTCCATATTCTTCCAAACTTTTCCTACTTATTTATGCAAATGTCTTTTTAATGTTGTAATTGTATCCATATCCACCACTTCAAGAATTTCATTCCACCTGCTGAAAAATTTGCCGTGTTCTTATAATTTCTTCGGTCTTATTTAAAAAAGTGTACCCCAGTTGTGAAATCCCCCATCCTAGATAAAGAAACTACCATTAACTGTTTATACTCCACATTTTAGAAATGCAAGGTCACCTCGAAGCCTATGCTCCAGTGGAAAAAGATGCCAGCCCTATCCAGCGTTTTATAAAAAGCTCCATTCCCAGCAACATCCTGGTAAATCTCTTCTGAACCCCTCCAGCTTAATATCCTTTCTATAACTGGGTGACCAGAACTGGACACCATATTCTGAAGAATTTCTTAAAGCTTGTTGGTTCACCAACTGAAATTTGGAAAGACTCCAGTTATAGCTTTTAATACAAAGTTCGTTTAAAGTGAGCGAGCTTGCATACTTACAGTTGCTTTCACCACTATTTCCAACTCTTTGTAGGCTTCTGAAGATTTATTACTCAAATCATCTGTATAGTTTCGATCCAGGATGTCAAACTGCAATAGAAGGGGATTGCGGATGACCGAAACATGGGTATACGAGGCAGTTTTACTGGACTCTGTTGAACTGCTGACTTCAGGTTCCATTCTAGCAGCTGTCACCATTGTAAAGAGCCGCATGCCAGATTCACTGGGTTTTGTGTAGCTGCCGATAATTGAACTGGTTTCAGGAGCCACATAGCTTGTATTGTCTACAGAAGTGGACAGTTCCTCAAAAGTGTTTGGGTCCCAGTAGCTGGAAGCAGATAAAGCTCCAGAAGCACTAGGCTGAAAGTTGGGGCTAGATGAAGTTAGGGAGAAGTACTCGGAGGCACCAGGAAGCTCATTAGTTGTGACTATTTCTTCGCTGATAGATAGTTGTGTGTAGGGCAGTGCTGTGGAAAATTCTGCTGCAGAGGTACAAGAGGACCAAGTGGTAGCTACAGAATTGCAGTGTTCACCCTCTGAAACAGCTGGAGATGGCCAACTGGTCCC